TGGTAGTGGGAGCGGGGAGGAAGCATTTAGGAACTAGAGGAAAGTTGTATTTCTCATCGTTGTTACATTGCACCCTGACTGGCTCGTCTCCTCCCATGTGTAAACTTTTAAGATCCGTGTGTGTGTGTGAACTTTTAAGACCCCAGATGGGACTGGACTCGCAGTAGACACCTTGTGTGATGGTTTCACGCGTGTGTCGCCTGTGAATAAAGGCTGAAATCTGTCATGGGTTCTCTGGTTGTAATAACTGTCTCAAGTGTGGTCTCCCAAAGCACAACATAGAAAGGACCAAGTCGCACGCTGGCTTGAATCACGGTCATTGTGTCAGCGAATGCGGTGCTGTCGGGTGACAACGGTGTGATGAGTCTGGTGTCAGCGACCTGTTTTCTGCTCGGTACCCCTCATCACAGCCGCTGCCGCCGACCTTGCGGTGGTCAGGTAGGAGCTGTGCTGGTCCCCGTGAAACATCAGTGTGTCTGTCGTCAAGTTGATTCCAACTCCTAGTGAGCCCATGTGACAGCAGGACAATACTGCCCCCGCAGAAAGGTTGGTGGTTTGAATCCGGCAGCTGCCCGTGGGGGAAAGAGACGGCAGCCTGCCACGTTGGAAGCCCTAGGGGGCAGTTCTTCTCAGTTGTGTAGGGTGATGCTGAAACCCAACCGATGGGGCGGTTTAAACTTCCAACCTTGTGTTGAGCAGCCAGGCGCCTCTCCCTGTATCACCAGCGCTCCTCAGACCAGTCAGATGACACGCAGCGTCTTGGGGACATTGCCTTTGAGCGTTGGCTGACGACTGCTTTCAGTGAATGATTCCTGTGGTGCTCATTCGCTCACGTTGATCACAGAGCCTCCGCTCACCAACCTCCGCACTCGGCCTGGGGCCCTCGGCCGGGGGCAGTCCCCGGGGGCTGTGCATCTCCTTGTTCGCGCTGCTGCTCGCTGATGGCCTTGTCTTCTCTCCCACAGGACAGCCGATCAGATTCATGACCATGGGGGATATGAAGACCCCAGACTTCGACGACCTCCTGGCAGCCTTCGACATCCCGGATATGGTCGACCCTAAAGCAGCCATCGAGTCTGGGCACGATGAGCACGAGGGCCACATCAAGCAGCAGGCCCACGCGGACGATGACTCCCACACGCCCCCCTCCTCCTCGGACGTCGGCGTCAGTGTGATTGTGAAGAATGTGCGTAACATGGACGCCGCCGAGGGCGTTGTCGAGAAGGAGGGCCACGCCGCCGCCGGCAACGGCCTGCACAACGGCTTCCTCTCTGCCGCCTCCCTGGACGGTTACGGCAAAGACGGAGCGCAGTCCTTGAAAGGAGACGCACCTACCTCAGAGGGGACCCTCAAGGACTCGGCCTTCAGCCAGTTCAGCCCCATCTCCAGCGCGGAGGAGTTCGACGACGACGAGAAGATCGAGGTGGACGACCCCCCGGAGAAGGAGGACATGCGTGCCAGCTTCAGGGCCAACGTGCTGACGGGGCCCGACGCCCGCCAGGACTACGGCAAGCCGAAGGCCCTGGGAGGCGAGGCCGGGCCCAGAATGGGCGGCCCGGCAGCCTCGGGCAACCCAGACAAGGGCAAAGTCGTCAAGCGGGAGTCGGAAGCCAACTCCCTACACCTGAGCGTGTACGAGCCTTTCAAAGTCAGGAAGGTGGAGGACAAACTGAAGGAGAGCCCCGCCGAGAAGGCGCTGGAGAACAGGGTCCCGGACGGAAAGCTGAGCTCCGAGAAAGGTGATGGCAGCGGAGGCCTTGGGGGGGTGGCCCCGGCGAAGTCCAAGTCGTCCTCCAAGCTCTCCTCGTGCATAGCGGCCATCGCGGCCCTCAGTGCTAAGAAGGCTGCCTCAGACTGTTGTAAGGAGCTGGGGGCCCGCTCGCGGGAGTCCTCTCCATTACCCAAAGAGGCCAGTGACGGCCCCGTCGCCCTGGAGAAGTCTCCCGAGTCCCAGAGCCTCATCGACAGCATGAGGAAGGCGCCCGGGAAGCCGCCGGACAGCCCCCGCAGTGTCTCCAGCGAAAACAGCAGCAAGGGCTCGCCCTCCTCGCCGGCGGGGTCCACACCGGCCATCCCCAAAGTCCGCATCAAGACCATCAAGACGTCATCCGGGGAGATCAAGAGGACTGTGACCCGCGTGCTGCCGGACGCGGACCTCGATGTCAGCGTGGGGAGAAAGCCCTCCTCCGAGCAGACGGCCTCGGTGCTGGCGTCTGTGACGTCCCTCCTGTCGTCCCCCACGCCGGCCGCCGTCCTCTCGTCCCCTCCCCGGGCGCCCCTGCAGTCAGCGGTGGTCACCAACGCCATCTCCCCCGTCGAGCTGACCCCCAAGCAGGTCACCATTAAGCCAGTGGCCACGGCCTTCCTCCCCGTGTCCGCCGTGAAGACGGCAGGCTCGCAGGTCATCAACCTGAAGCTGGCCAACAACACCACGGTGAAAGCCACGGTCATCTCGGCCGCGTCCGTGCAGAGCGCCAGCAGCGCCATCATCAAAGCGGCCAATGCCATCCAGCAGCAGACCGTCGTGGTGCCCGCGTCCAGCCTGGCCAACGCCAAACTCGTGCCAAAGACGGTGCACCTCGCCAACCTTAACCTCCTGCCTCAGGGTGCCCAGGCCACCTCCGAACTCCGCCAGGTGCTCACGAAACCGCAGCAGCAAATCAAGCAGGCAATAATCAACGCGGCCGCCTCGCAGCCGCCCAAGAAGGTGTCGCGGGTGCAGGTGGTGTCCTCCTTGCAGAGCTCCGTGGTGGAGGCCTTCAACAAGGTGCTGAGCAGCGTCAATCCAGTCCCAGTTTACATCCCGAACCTCAGCCCCCCCGCCAATGCTGGCATCACGCTGCCCACGCGCGGCTACAAGTGCTTGGAGTGCGGCGACTCCTTCGCCCTGGAGAAGAGCCTCACGCATCACTACGACCGGCGGAGCGTGCGCATCGAAGTGACCTGCAACCACTGCACCAAGAACCTGGTGTTCTACAACAAGTGCAGCCTCCTGTCGCACGCGCGCGGCCACAAGGAGAAGGGCGTGGTCATGCAGTGCTCCCACCTGATCCTCAAGCCGGTCCCGGCCGATCAGATGATCGCGTCTCCCGCAACCAATGCGTCGGCGCCACCGCCCACCACGCAGAGCTCCGTGGGCGCAGGCGTCCACACAGTCACCAAAATCCAGTCCGGCATCATGGGCACCGTGATATCAGCGCCTCCCAGCTCGCCCATCGTCCCCGCCATGCCGCTGGACGAAGACCTGTCCAAGCTCTGCAGGCACAGTCTGAAATGCTTGGAGTGCAACGAGGTGTTCCAAGACGAGATGTCGCTCGCCACGCACTTCCAGCAGGCGGCAGACGCGAGCGGACAAGTAGGGTATCCTCCACGCGGGGGGGTTCCACGGTGGCTCCGTACACGCGGGCGCTCGACCTGCCTTCAGCGTCAGGGGGTGGGGTGCTGATAAGCCGAGGTGGGGAGGAGTACTCAAGAAACAGCAACTAAAACACGGCCGTCAAGTTGATGCCGTCTCACCGCGACCTCATAGGACAGGGTAGAGCTGCTCCTGTGGGTTTCCGAGATGGAACTCTTGATTAGAAAGCCTCGTTTTTCTCCTGTGGAGCGGCTGGTGGTTTCGAATGGCTGACCTTGCAGTTTGCAGCCCAGCCCGTAATCCACTGCACCACAGTGGCCCTCTGCGCACGGACTAGAGAGGGAAAAGGGCCCTTGTGTCCAAAGAGTAGGAACAGTGGAGAAACATGAGTATTATTTTCAGAGAAGCCTCTTTCAGGGAAGAGGATTCTTTCCAAGGTAGAAATGGTAGGTGGTAGTTGAGGACTTAGCAGCACGGACGTTCAGAAGGGGAGGGAGTCCGTGCTGGGGTTATTAGACTGTAGCTAGTCTGAGATTCAGCCGCTCACCATCTCATCCCACCATACTTAGCATCCAACTCAGGGTCACGGCCAATGTTCTGGGAGTCTAGTGGCTGTTGTGGGGGGTTAAAGAAAAAACGTGATCACTATTGTAATATATAGTTATCGAATAAAGCCTTTCTATAATTCAGCACCACTTATTGGGCACAGAAGCACTGTTTTGGTGACCTGGAAGTGTTTTCAGGCATTAATATTCACCACGGTAATGAGTGTGCACCCCAGGTGAACGGGAGCCCCCTCTCTGTTGAAGTGGGGTGTGGTGGTACTTGGAGCTGCTCATTGCGCACCAAAGGGTGTGGTCACATTGGCGATGTGTGCGGCGTGTGATGGGCACCTCTGAGCTCTGTTGCTTGCTTCCCCACGTGACAGCCAACTCTCACCAGTACATGCTGCCCGTGGAAGTCGCGGGGATGGTTGTGTGTTGGGCGGAACAGGCTGGACCCAGGGAGACCACGCATCTGGTGCTGCACGCAGGGAAGGGGCCCTAGTCCGAGGTCCTGCACTTTGGCTTTCAGATGGAATGTGTCTGGAGACCGAGCCATTTCCCTCCTCCCACTCTGTTCTCCCAGAGACATCTTTGGCTGCCTTTCAGAAGTCAGGCACTGCTATGGCGATTGTTCTTAGGCAGTCAGAGTTCAGTCACTGGCTTTTCGAGTTGGGGATACCTCAGTCAGTCATCTCTGGATTTCCAGGTTAGAGCTTGCGTAGTGATGGCGTGTCGGGCTGCTAATCACAAGGTCAGCAGTTTGAAACCACCAGCTGCTCTGCAGGAGAAAGATGAGGCTCTCTCCTTCGGTAAAGAGGGACAGGCTCAGAAACCCAAGGCGCAGTTCCTGCCCTGCCCTGCAGGGGCGCTGTGAATCGGACCGGCAGAGAGGTTGGTTTCTAAGTTGTGAGCGAGCGCTCAGGGCAGGGTTTGTCTCGGTCTCAGCCCAAGGGGAAGGTCCCTGTCTTCAGCTTCGAATCTTCCTTTCCCTGGAGATGACGTGCACGTTCCTCCCCTTCCGTATGTGCTGGCCGGTCTGCTTAACCTGCGCTTAAATATATCTCAAAAGAGACACATTTAAGACACTCTTCTTTTAAAATCATTTTGTTGGGGCTCATACAGTTCTTGTCACGGTCCATACATCACGGTGTCATGTGCATGTGTACAGATGTTGCCATCATCATTCTCAAAACATTTTCTCTCTGCTTGGTATCAGTTCATTTAACTGCTTCCCCCACCCGCCCGCCCTCCTTCACGAGCCCTTGATAATTTATAAAAAAATTTTTCATGTTTTATACTGACCAATGTCTCCCTTTACCCACTTTTCTGCTGTCCGTCCCCCTGTGGGGGGTGGGGGGGTTACTGGTAGATCATTGTGATCGGTTCTCCCTTTCTCCCCGCACCTTCCTCTTCCCCTCCTGGTATGGCTACTCAATATTGGTCCTGAGGGGTTTATCTGTCATGGATTCCCTGTGTCGTGAGCTCTTATCTGTACCTGTGTCCATGCTCTGGTCTAACCGGATTTGTAAGGTAGAATTGGGGTCATGAGAGTGGGGGAGAGGAAACATTAAAGAACTAGAGGAATGCGGTATGTTTTGTACTTCAGGAGCCCTGGAGGAGGAGTGGTTACTTGCTGGACATCTAACCACAAGGTCAGCAGTTGGAGACTACCAGCTGCTCCCTGGAGAAAGAACGAGACTGTTTAGTCCTGTCTTATAAACCCCAGGGACACAAGCAAATTCATGGACACTCTCAACATGTGTATAAGAGAGAGTTTGATACAAAGGGTAATTGTACATGAAGAAAGCATCCCAACCCAGTCCAGTCCAAGCCCATAAGTCCAATATTAGCTCTTATGTCTAATACTAACCTATAAAGTCCTGTTCAAACTCATGAAACACCGAGTGCAGCAAGATCACGGTCCAGTGGGTAGAAAGTCTTTGGATCCAGTTGTAAGCATCTCAACGCTGGCAAGGGCCTCTGTGGCTTTTCGGCTCCAGCGGTCTGGTTGTATCAGGGCAGGTCCGCGTGCCTTCTCCAGCTCCCAGGGCATAGTGCCGTGTGTCTTGTTAGTGGAGTGTCTCTCAGGGAGCGAGCCCAGGGAGATGGAGAGAAGGGCGAGACCATGGGACAGCTCCAGAACACCATGGCTGACGGCCTCGTGCCGTGGAGTCTTGTGCTGGTGCTCGGGGTCTGTTGAGCTGAGTGCTCTCTGCTTACATTGTCACCACTGGGTCGGAGAGCTGCTCTTTCTCTCCGTCTTGTGGGGCTGTGGTTTCAAGAGCAGAAGAAGCCGAGTCTTCTGTTCCCTTTGCCCTGTCATGTGTTGCTGTGTCTGCCGTGTGGTGGGGGCACTGGACAGTGCCCTGGCTTTCCCCTCTTTGCTCTAGCTTGTGTGTCTCCTCTGGGTCTCCTGGCATTGGGGGCCCTCAGCTGTGGCTTCCCTCAGTCTAGGGAAGAAGTTGGACCTGGGCAGGAAGGGAGGAACCGCCACTCCTCACTGTTTGTCCTGGTTTTGCTGTGCTCTTACCCATTTGCACTCGGCCGCCTAACTCAGGAGGGATGAGGCAGAGCTGTGTGACACCCCACACAGGGAACACCTCGGATGCTTTTTCTTGAACCATCTTTGCTGCTGCCTCCATTGGACTCTCCTGTGTTTTCGGGGGTCACGTGATATGTGCTGGGTGGCCACATCACCTCGATGGCTAAGGAGTGTCACAGAGACCGTATGTGCACCCCACGGCCAAGCCGACATCGAGGCACGCACTCACCCCTGTGCTCTGTCCTGGTTGTTGTCTGCCCAGAGCAGAGCATGCCGGGAGCTGCAGTAACTGCAAAGCCAGGGCCAGCAGCCAGCAACAGACGTGCCACGGGGCTCCTGCCTCTCGACTCCTCTTTTCCCTGTAAGTGGTGTTCCACAGGCTCCTCTGCCGTTGCCCTTCTTCTGCAGCGCAGGCGGGGAGTCTGCCTTCTCCCTCAGCAGCCACAGCCTGCGCCCTCCCTGGGTGGAATGGGGTCATGTCTTCACACAGAGCCCCAGGAGGTCACCCCTTGACACTGAGTGGACGCCGCCTCATGGCCATTTCCCGTGTATGTCAGAGTAGGACGGTGCCCTGCAGGGTTTCCGGGGAGCGTTTTGGAAGTGGGCTGGGCCTGTCTTTACAGGTATTTTGGGGGGTGGGGGTGGGAGGCCTGGAACCTTTCACCTTTCATTTGGTAGCTGAGTGCTTAGTTGTTGGCGCCACCCAGGGACCTTTTAGATTAATGCTGCCATTACACAAATGAACAGGAGCCCTGGTAGTCTAGCGGGTTATGGGTTGGGCTGCAAACCACAGAAAGTCAGCGGTTTGAAACCATTAGCCTCTCTGCAGGAGGATGGGGCTTCCTACTTCTGTAGAGATGTACAGCCTTGGAAACCCTCAGGGGCAGTGCCGTTCTGCCCGATGGTTGCTATGAGTCAGGATCAGAGCATGGCAGTGAGTTGTATCGAAGGAGCCCTGGTGGCGTTGCTGGGTAATCATTGGACTGCGAACCCGCAAGGTCGGCAGTTCTAACCTACCGGCGAGGATAGAAGGTGAGGCTATCTGCCCCCATGATGACTTGAAGCGTCAGAAACCCCGTACAGGGTGGCTCAGAATTGGAATTGGCAGCAGCTGGTAGCTTTGGCTTTGGTGTTTACACAGATGAATTGAGACACGCCTCCTCCGGATTTTCTGTGAGAGATTGCTTGTACAGGCTTACCTTGGAGATATTTCGGGGTCAGTCTTGACTGCCCCAAAAGGGCAGGGGGTGCCTCAAAGCGAGTCCCCCGGGTTAGTTTGGTTTCCCAGTGCAGATGAGCACCGGTCCCACGGGCACGGTTGTCTCTGAGGTTGAGCGTGGTCACACGGCATGGCGAAAGTGCTGGGTGTCTTATGAGAGGGACCGCAAGGTGACACCGAGGTAGATGTGAACGGAGCGCAAACTGTTGGGGAAACGACACCCGGATAGACTTCCTTGGTGCGGGGTTGACGAAAACCTTAGATTTGCACACAAATGTCCCAAACCACGGTATCTGCAAAGTGAGGTACAGTGACCCTGTGATTCAGGTCCCTTCTCTAAGGGTTTGATAGAAGCCCATCCCCAGTGGAGGCATCAGGGTCTGGAGGGATCTTTCGTGGGATTTTGAAATACCCACTGGGCTGGTGGGGGGTCAGGGGGCCCATTCTCAGCTGCCAGGGAGCCATGTCTCACATCAAGAGGAAATGAGGGGCATCTTCCCAGACCCCTCCTCTGCATGTGGCTGGGCAGCTGGCACCCCCCCATGCCCCCATCCCACCCTTGGCTCAGCACAGTCTCCAAGGGTGTGGGTGTGGCCCAGCACTGGTGGGCTGGGACTGCCATGTCTCCTGTGGTGTTTGGCTGGAGTCAGAGCCGTGATTTCCTCATCTTTTGGCTTGTTGGGGATGTTGGGAT